ATACATAGGATTTCAACAAATGCAGGTAGAAAATAATGGTATGAAGATGAAAAATCTCATTCTGGAACAGAAATCATGAAAAAGGTGGTTTTGTGGACAGAGAACGAGCTTTCCAATGACCAACCGAAAATAGACTACATAACCAAAAAGAGATTAAAAGACCTCTGAAAAGCAAGACAATATTCCAGCAGACACATCACAAAGGAGAACAAAGATAGTGCTCCTACCATCTAAATAATTGTTCCAGATTTTTATATGAGTAGGACAATAGTCTCAGGACAAAGTTCAGAAAATAAAAATCTTTTACATTTGCAACTGGTACTTTGCAATCATGTAATTCATAACTGGCTAAGCTTTAGAGCAGCTAAGCTTAACAGCCGAGAAAGATGACTTTGCTTCAGAATAAAGCAAAGCACTAAGCAAACACATTCAACTTAGTATAGTTCTTTGAATAAAAAATACAGGACATAGAATATAATAACTTGCCTTCATTAAATTCGAATTTCACAGGCTGCCGATAAAATGCAGGACAGGAAGTGCATATTCTCAAAGCAAGAATTTTGTAGATTACTTTGGAGTTACAACAAAGAACTTAATACCAAGAAATGCAGAAACACACCAAACCACACTCTTCCATCATTTACAAAGGCTAAAACCACAACCAAATTTGAATATGTGCCGGTTGCTCAAAACAAAGAAACAATGTTGCAATAGCAGTTGATATTTTTAATATACTAAGTTGCAGCTGGATGAAATAGTATAATATACTCAGTTTCAACTGAATTTACCAAAAAATTAGTTCGACAAAACAATGCCATCAATAAAACATAATGGGTGTTCCTTTCTAAAAGCTCATTCTGCAACAAAAATCAATTAAAAGGTGGCTTTGTGCATAGAGAATGAGCTTCCCAAGGACGAACCGAAAATAATCTATGTACCTTATATGAAACAAAAAGTTCAGAATCGTCGGCAATGACAATTAAGTCAACCCGATAAGTCAACAAAACAACTATACATCTCCAAAATTCAGAAGAACGTTCATGTACCCACTTCAACAATGCCCCAATCTTCGATAAATTGGACACAAAAATCAAAAATAAAGAAAGACATCACAAACTTTAGGAAAAGAGAATCACTTGTTGCCATACCTAAGTCAATGAGATGGAACCACGGACACATCCCAACCCAGTTCACTTTACAGCTGAATTCAACAATAACAGGTAATAATTCCATATAAAAAAGGATCGTTGAGATAATTATTTGTGCCAATAGATGATTACCCGATACATTACACACTCTTCGATTTAATTTAAAATTCATGAAACTATTCCATATCTTAATCATTGCAAAGCTTAGAAAAGCATAGATGGAAGAGACCACTTACGGTTAAGAAGCTCCTAAATTGGTTAAGTGGATTCAACTTGACCTTCAAATCCTCTCTAAATTCACCTTGTTTCCTCTAGACTTCTCCTCCTTTGCTCTGATTTGTTTCCTCCTAATTCGCTCTGGCTACATCCCTTCAATCAATCTTCAGTTTATTGAAAGCTACAAGTGAAGCCCATAAAAGAAAAACCCATCTAAAATCTTCAAAGGGACGATTGGTACTGGATCGCCAATACAGCACGACGGAAGGAGAGAAGAGTGAGAAAATGAAATGCCGGCGGATAGAAATGAAAAAGTCCGTTTCAAACAATTGAAATACTCCCCCTACCTATTTTTTGAAAAGTCTATTTCAATCAAGCCTTCTTTTTTTCAAAATGATAATTTGAAAAGACCTTAATTATTTTGTCTAAACGCATTTTAAACTCTAAACATACTTTTAAATTTTAAAAGTCTTTTTAAAACTCTTGTCCAAATGGAACCTGAATTGCTACACTTAAACGACTCATGAATAGTAATATAAATATATCTTTTAATAAATTTAATTAGTAATTTTATCATTTCATGGTTTTCGGCTTGTCGCATCACTTTATGAGTCACTTTACCTTTATAATTTCACTCATAAATGGTTTTTCTTACTAAATCTATATTCACTATATTCTCTTTTTCAAGATTTTTGTATCTTTATTCTGTCTTAAAATTATTGTCTCATTTGTTATAACTAGATGTAACCCGTGCGTTGCACGTGGCCGAAAAAATACACTTTAAAGAAATACCAAGTTACCAATAAATGTGTATGAAAAGAGAATATGACATCAATTTAAGACCGTAAAATATAGTTTTCACCTCACTTGCGTAACAACAGCTTTTCTCATTTGATTGGGGGAGTTAGGAAACTAACGATCCTTTTATGTCTGGATGTAACTGGGTCTCGTATTATCGTAACGTACTCAAATAATAATTAGGTCTTATCCTCGTTTTTTGTAATGATAATTTATAATAAAAAGAACTGCTCTTTGTTGGAAGTTTATATTTCCGGCTATCCAGCTAGCTTATTAATATGTTAGCCATACTGAGTTTAGAATTGCATGAATTATGAAAGAAGGCTCATGATAGTGAATTTTTCTGAATTATGGCTATTTCATGCGCATGAAATTTAAACTGGAACATAGACTTAGAGAGGAAAAAAAGAGATGAATAGTTTGGAATGGATCAAAATACACCTTCTTAGATATTCTTTAGGAAGAATAAACAATTTTATGGATAATGTAATAAGGAGAGGGTCCAAATTCCACTTTAGTGTTTGAAGTGATATGTTTACCATGTGGGGATGATAAAATTCACGAGTCCTCTTCATCCTTCAAAAACTCATACACTTTACCAATAAACTTTTTGATCAATATTATTTACCAGACTTAGTGCCAATGACTATGAGAGAAATTTTGGCTAAGAAAAAAACCCGATGTAATTATCATAATTGGTCTCTGAATCCGGCAGCATCAACGTTCACATTTTAGGCCACTTTCTATTGCAAATTGCATATGTATTCTGAAGTCAGAGAATTCATGCACAAGTAATTTTAGCTTTCTACAGTTGCAAGCGAAACCAAAACAACTTAGAAACTCTATAAAATAATCATTACATTCACGACCAAAGTTCAACATTCAAAGTCCATTTCTTCCCCCTGCAGTGGAACAAAACACAAACCTCTGGACTCTAATTTCTCTTCCTCATGTTCGGTATATCAATTTCTTTTTTTGGGAGAGAAAATGTTAATATTCTGCAATAAAAATAAATAAATATAATGCAAGATTCTATCATTTTCATCCCAATAACATTGATAAAAAAAAAAGAAGGTTGAAACTTTCTCGTAGAAAATTCTGCACGTGATGAGAATGCAAGAGCTTGGTTTTTAATTCTAAGTTATTAAGAAGATGCTTTAGAGATAGACTAATAGGTCGGGCTACTTTCTCCACAACTAGTCAAATACTTCCTCTAGAAAAAAAAAATACAAATTCATACCTTAATAACAAACGAACAAAATATAATTAAAAAATATCTACAAATCAAATACATGTCATTCAATGGATTAAAGAATTGCAAACCTGCAATTTCCGATGCTCATCCGAGGTTTCGGTCTTGTGGAAAGTAGAAACCCTTGACATCATGGGATTGAGTTCTTCAACAAAATCAAATTGTTCTTCGACAATATGGTTACCGGCTCCGGACATTCCAAAATTTTCTGGAATTTTGTTGTACACTGTGATGAAAAATAAAATCATCAACCGTGATGCTTTCGTATTAATCCATTTGTGTAACGATTTATTCGCAAAATATATCAACAATCTATATGCATAATATTCTTGTTTACATCTAGATTAATTCATCTCCTAACCCAATTCATCTTCTATAATATAGCAATCATTTTAAAATTAAATATGACCAAAAATTAAAATTATATATAAGAAATCAGTGCACAAATATATCATTACCTTTTCATCAATTAAGAGAGCTTGAAGGCACAAAACATTACAAGATTTAGCAAAAGTTGGTATCCAAACTTGAAGCACATGATCTTCCCGTCGTTTTTTTACCTTCATTGGGTTGAGCTCCTCGATCCAATCGAATTCTTGAGCTATTCGGATAATTGAAAGTAAAATCCTTTGAATCGAATATAATTTTTTTTATTTTGACTATAATGGGTGTCGAAGAACTACATCCTCAATCAATCTTTTATAAAGAGAAATCGTAAGTGGATTACGAGTCTGGAAATAATAGTCAACAATTCACATCATATTTGATCGAAACCTAATTTTTGAATCTCCGAGGAAGCATAATAAGGACTTGAGATGGATCACACTGAACGATTAAAAGAATTGCATTTCGGATAAACATCAGTTACATATTAAAAAATTTAATATGAAATTTGAACTTCACGGGTAAAGATGGATACCCAATCTCGGATGGAATTTTCAGACCTCAGAAACTGAAAAAATTGGGGTTGGAATCTTCAAGATTTTATTGTTTAAAATTGAAAAAAAAAAAAAAAAAAAACCTTCCAATCAGAACAGAAGATTTGGTAAAGAGAAAGATCAGCAGTAGATTGGCTAAGATTTTATAAATCTTCTACCATGATTACTTTATTAATATTTTTTTTCCTTATCTTTTTTCCTTAGAGTTTTTAAGCAAAGATAAAAAAATTTTTTCCTTTCTAATAAATAAAAAAATAAAGAAAATTACTAGTCCTACGTGGCAAGCAAAAAGCTATCTCAGTTTCCTCTCTTTTTTTCTTTTTTGAAGAACATTCTTGTCTTTTTTGAATTGTAGTCACCTCGATGGGTGGCCAAAGTATTTAAGGTTGTTCCATACCCATAGCGAGGTTCGAACCTTCGACCTATGATTAAAAGTGGAAGAATCCCTTCCATTCCACCACAATCACTTTGGTTGTCCTAATGAATAATTGAATAATGAATATGCAGGCAATGCAATGCAATTGGAAAAAAAAAAAAATGAAAGTGGTGTTAATGGACCGAGTTAGTGATTGAGCCCAATAAACGGGCAGTGTTTTAGGGCCCATAAGATTTCATCCTGTAATGGGCTGAAACCCAAAAGTGGTGCGAGGAGAAAAGTTTCTGAATGAGATAATAAAATCAATAAAATTGAAGAACCAAAAGAAAGGAATTCCGTAGAGAAAAATCGATCATCGATGGGAGCTACGAGTGCGAATAATATCGATGATTTACTTCTCAAACAATTCTTGGCGGAGGTTAGCGAAGTCGAACGTGATAATGAAGTCAGCAGGTAATCGATTGCCCTCGCTTGCTTTTGCTTTTTGTTTTTTTTTTTTTTTCCAGTTTTATTGCGTTAATTTTTTGCTATGTTTTTGTAATATGTAGGCTTAATTAGGTTATTATCTTTGTACTGGACTAAAAAATTTGGTAAATTGATAACTTTAGTGGCTGTATTTGATTGCAGTTTTCACTTAGCTTTGTGGAATTAGGTTATGATTTTGTTCAAGAAAAATATGCGTCAGTTTGTGTTGTAGTGTTGCAAAAGGGGGTCTTTTTAATTTGAGGTTGTAGTGAGTGCAACATGTGATTTATGCGTTTTCTGAGTGTGTAAATGAATATCATCTTCTGTGAGTAGCTATATTGTGGAACTTGTGTGTTAGGCTTTGGAATTAAAAGTTACAATCGTGAGACGGGTTATTTGGTTGAGTCTCTGAGAAGGGTTTATTGCGTCCGGGGAATAGATAAGAGATGGATGATGGAGTTGTGGAGATTCGAAAAGAAAATCTTTGGGCTTAGTTAGTGGAGGAAGATGAAATGAGGAAAACATCCATGAAATTCAAGGAGATGACAGCCATTTCATGTTGACTGCTTGTGTTAGGAAAAAGATTAGGTTGAAGTTGATTCCGAATGATGAGCTGGGATCACTGGATGCTTGCAGCAAAAGAAGCTTGCTTGGGTTGAGAGTTTAAGATCATATTACTTTTAGTCGGCCCCCGGGGGTGGGGTGGGGTGGTGGAATGAGATTTTATTAGATTATTTTGTCTCATCGCGTAGTTAGAATTGGTAAAATATAATTGAAGAAAGCCGTTACCTTGTTTGAGATTACTTTTTATTTGGTTGTGTTGTCCATGCAATATTGGACAATGCAACCTTCAGTCATCATCACTAAGCCCACTAAAATGAAGCAGAGTAGAACAAGAAAAAATTGTTCAGGCTTTTCTACATAAAAACCAACAGTTCTTGCACCGTCATCCAGTAAACCTGTAGAGACTTTTGGTTAAGTTTACACATTTCATTGAAGGTTTTGTGACGTTTTCTGAGTATTAAGGTCGGTTTCACTGATTGTAGGATGACCCTTTCACATCCTTATTCGCTAAACTACTTGCGTTTCAGCCAAGCTAATAACTTCAGCCATCCCTAAGAAAAAGATGGAATCTTTAATTTCTGCCTATTCCGGATTGGCAATAACTTGGAAATAGTGTGTTAATGTTGTGTTTCCATAAATTCTTCTTCTCCCCTTTCATCAGAAGTGTCTTAATGATGAAAAACTTTTAAAAACTCATAAGTAGATCATACATTTTTTGAAGAAAGTAGCTGGTTTGTTGAAATTTTGTATTTGGGAGTATTGTGCTTGGTTGGTTATCTTCAATTCTTTCTGAAATGATGTTTTAAACTTGCAGGTTAGTGAATGTTCATACACGTGTTGCATTTAATTAAAACTTATCTCGGGGAGGGGGGGAGTTGCGACTGTTTCATATATGTGCCGGAAATTTTGCATTTTGGTTCACTTCAGGAATTTACTTGCAGAGATTGAAAGCATGGAGCCTCCCTTTTATGTATACCAGTGGTTGAATTTCTGAACTTGATTATTGCCGTAGAGAGCATATGGCAAGCTGGTCCTTACTTAGGAGTTCATACATGACTTAATTAAATGGGAGGCTCTATCTTTTTCATACACCGGCCTTTGAAGTTGAATCCTTTACATATTCATTCAAGAACTCTCAATTTAGTTTAAGCATCTCTTCAATTTTTCTGCAGTTCTAACCTTATTTAGTTACTAATTGTGTGATTTTATCATCTCGTCAGGATCCTTTCTTGCTTCAAATTGAACCCATTTGAATATCTTAACCTGTCATTTGATTCCTCCGTGGACGACGTAAAAAAACAGTATCGTAAGGTAACATTTCATTGAATTGGTCGTGAATTTGTAGTGTTGATTCGAGTATGATGCGACCTTGTTGATTTATCTGGTTGAGTCTTTACCAATGCCAATTTTATATGATTCATCATTGTTGCAGTTATCTTTACTTGTTCACCCTGACAAATGCAAGCATCCACAAGCAAAGGAAGCATTTGGTGGTAAGTGAAATTTATCTTAATGATGTTTTGAAAATTAAAAGCAACCATGTATTTTTGAGTGGTTTGTCTTCGCGATGCTCATTTCTTTGATATTTGATATTTTTGTGACACCATTGCACATTTCATCCTTTTTTCCTTCTTTAATATTTGAGACATGCTCAAATGGATTCTTGAATCATGATTTTCAGTTTGCAGTTTAGCTTCCATGTAAATTTTCAGTTTGCTTACAAATATTCATAAGTGCTGACATTTTTTTGCAGCATTGGCAAAAGCACAACAATTACTTCTTGAACCACAGGAAAGGGAATATGTTCTCAACCAAGTTGCTGCAGCAAAAGGTCATTGCTCAATCTTTCATTTAACATTGTAATCATGTTAAATAATTAATTCTTTGCATTAGAGATCCAACTGAATACTTCTGACGTATTTTACAAGATTCATGTTTAAACTTTTCTAATATTGAATTTGAATTTACAGACTTGATCAATAACATCATCTCCACTTCGATATTCTTCCTACTTTTTTTCCCGTTATCCTTGTTTCTCTTTTACCCGTGATATGATTCCCTCAAATTAGTTGCAATTATAGCTTTATCAGAATGAGAACTTAATTATCAGTACATGTGGGTAAATATGATGCTTCCTCTCTGAACATTGTATCTGCATCCATTCTCTTAGAACCAGTAAATTATGTTTAAAATAATTGCCCGTCCAATTTTCATTTTATATTTTTCGCCTCCTCGCTGATGTCCGTGCGTAGATTGAAATGCATATACCTGACCTTTTCTTAATGCAGAAGAACTTAGAGCGAAGAGGAAGAAGCAACTGAAAAAAGATACTGCTTCTAAATTAAAGTCAATAGTCGACGATGTAAGTTTGGTAGCTGTTCTCTTTTCTCTTTGTTTTCTGGCGATCAAAGTTTTTTCCGCGCTTTTTAAATTTTGTAAATTGGTGTAAAGATTATTGAACTACCGTTTGGATCAACTAACATACAGCCCTTCCAGTCCCTTGTGGTTGGGGACCCCGACGTTTCAAACGGGGATGATTTTCGTAAAATCTTTTGTTGCAAATGAATAAGATATTTTCCACAATTTTCTCCATCCCTCTGTGTAAATAGCCTAATATTGGGTTATTAATAGTGTAATGCATAATTTTTTGGCTACCTTGAATGGTTGATTGAATATTTACGACGAGCTTTTTCAAATGCTAATGCAGGGAAAATATGAGCAAGAATATGAGAAATCACCCGAATTCCAGCAGGAGCTGAAGTTGAAGGTTCGAGAAATACTAACAGAGCAAGAATGGCGTAGGAGGAAAATGCAGATGCGAGTATGTTTGGTGCAACCTGTATTTGTCTTTCAGTATAATTTATCTGACCTTTTTTGTTAAGTTGTGTTTTTGTTCTCCTTTTGATGGCTTCTAGATATCAGAAGAGGAGGGCAGGTTGAAAAAGGATGAGGAGGAATCCAAAGAAATGTGGAAAAGGAAACGGGAGCACGAGGAACAGTGGGAAGGGACAAGAGAACAGAGGGTAAGTGTTTCGCTGGTCCTTTTATATCTGTTTTAATGTCGGTTTGCAAAATGGATGTATATCTAGTATCTGTAACTAACCTTTGCTCATCTCTTATTGTGTCTTTTCCCTAGTTTCACTAAGTTACACCCAACTTGGTTTTTCTGTCTCTTCCATTTATTTCTGCAATTCTCTTCTGGAATGTGGTTTTTGACTAAGGATTTCTCAGATAAGCCTCATCCTATATTTTGGTTTAGCTGAGAGGAATTAAAACTTTGATCTTTTTCCTTATTACCCCTTCCATATATTGACTTCCAGTTCTAACTAGGCACAGCTTTGTATTTTTTGTAAGATACATGCAATAAAGAAGCTACTTGTCGCATGTTTTTTCATCTGTAATGTTGCATCCTAATTGTGACCTGCATATAATCATGTTGGTAAGTGAGTTGAAGGAAATTTCATAAACATGACTCATGTTTTAGGACAAAGGACTTCGTAATAAATTATTGAAGTGTTCTTCCCCCCTGTGGAAATTAACAATCGAACTTAAAGAGGAGAAAGAATCTCAAAATTAGTTTTAAATGGTTATGTGCAGAAGAGCGATGAGAACTATTATTATTGTGTGTGTTCATTGGGGATTTGGGGTTTCAAAACATTGCTGCTGATTATTATTTGAAATTTCGTTGTAGTGTATGAGTATGTGTTAAGTAATACAGTAATCTTTTTTTCCCTCAAAAGAAAGAACAAAACTTTTGCTTTTGTACATTGTTTTTAGCAGTTGTGAAACGATTAGTTTTCAATTGGAAAGAGGAACAGAAGATTGTGTAAAGAGCAATCTCATGTAATGGTAGTTGTGGAATTTATATATTTCTTGGTACGTTTGCTCTTCATCAACCAAACAAGGCTGTGTTTTCATTCTCTATTGTCAGTTATGGATCTTTTCCTTTCTACTTGCTACTTCGTCATGAAAGTTTTGCTGATCATTGAGCATTATGATTAGCAAACATTACACCATTTATCAGAATTTTGATTACTCTGTTCCATGTTGATCAGGTCTCAAGCTGGAGGGACTTCATGAAGGGTGGAAAGAAGGTAACGTGCTAGTTCGACGTGTCATTCCCTTTTCCTTCTCGATTTGCGAGTTAACTAATTTTTGGGCATCTCTTTCCCTTTTTGTACATAAATGCAGGTGAAGAAAGGAGAGATACGACCTCCAAAGCTGAAGACTGAAGATCCCAACAAATCCTATGTTCAAAGACCCGTCAAACGGGGTTGAAAAGATGGAGTTGCTCCGCGTAATAGTTTTCTTCACAGTTTACATTTATATCAAGAAGCTTCTGAGAAGGCTGTCTTCTTGCTAGCTGGATAAGATGCTACAATTTGACGACCTTAGTTGCCTTGTAGTTCTGTTATATGACCTTGTGGCTATAGTAGTGTGTCCTGGAGCTCTAGGCTAAATCCCAGTTCGGATTCAATAGCATTTAACTGATGATATCTCTATGGTCTAAAGGCTTTTAAAATGTATCAAATTGTATCTCTTAGCAATTGCCAGCTCCGCTGTTTTTGAGATGTGCAGAAATGAAATTTGAAGTACTTAATCTTATATCTTCACACAAAAAAAAGTTACATTGTACAAAATGAACCCAAATTACAAATCATCACACCCTATATGTTACATCAATGCCCCAAAGATTATGTATCTCACCAAACAGAATATAAGGACTTCAACGTCCTCTATCAAATATAAGCAACAAAAAATAATACAACTAAACGAGGGAGAACAAAAAAATATATAGGACTAACAAGAAAATACCCAGTACAACTCCTAACCCAGGAGAGACCAACAACCCTGTTACTTTCTACCTGCATCCAGCTCTTCAATGTACATAGGAACCTTTGGAAAGAAACACCCCCCCCACCAACCGCTGCCATCATAAACATTTAAGAATCCTTGGCCTGCGACGTGGTTGGTGACTCAAAATTTCACTGCCAAGAGGCCTACAGATTGTTACGGATGAGTTTGATAGCGCTCCCAAGTGCCTTCAATTATGACAGTCGACACTGACCTCGGAGAAGTCTCAGTTCAGCGTCATGCTATGAACAAATCTCTGGAAACCCCAGGTGTTAGCATGAGCCTGGAAGAATATAGGAAAACAATCTGCAACAACATATCAAATCCAAGCAAGAGAACCTCTGTCATTCGCTACTTGAGGGCGCCCTCTAGTCGGTGTTGGTGGTCTGTTAGCATTAAGCTCCTAATCCAAAAAGAAAGACAGTACATCAGTGTGATGCTCAGACATCAGGCATGGAAGCAGGCAACAAAGAGACCAAGGAACATGACATAAAAACTGATTTCACCTGCATCCATGTGTCCTCTATATGACGTTCTGGCGATGTTTCAGGTGATGTAATAGCCGGTGGCAATGGATGTATAAGTTTGGGAACCACTACAAGATCCCTACCCAGAACCAGTATGGCACCAGCATTGTTTGCAGTCCCTGAAGAGAGTTAAACCAACAATTATATACTCAGCCAAATTTCACAAAAAGAACATTCCACGTTTGCATGTTTTCCCCCACAAGATTCTAAAACAAGTACATACCACAATAATTCGTGGCTGAGAAAAGAGTGATTAGATGTCCTTGGGCAAATCGTTCAAACCCATCCATTACACACTCATGCGCTCTCACTATTAGCTGCAGATCGTTGTTATTACAGAACTCCATTACTCGATCAGGCTGCAGGTGGATGAAATGGAGGAAAGTCAGACAAACAAAATAATAATGAATATATGCAAATTCGAATGAACTAAACATCTATTACGAAGAATGACAACTGATATCACAAATCATAACACACAAATTGGAACCTAATAAAGTTCTAAGGCGGATATTATTCAAGCAAACTATGACAAGCTTTCAGAATCCGAAAAAATATCAATTTTGGAACCAAGTTGGACCTGGACCACCTATTCTTAAGTGGCTTCTTTTAAGTTCATAAATAAATTGGACATAAAATTGAACTCACACAATTGACAACTGCAACCAAGGAATCACACATAATACTCTCATTAGCCACCAAAGAAAAACATAATAATACTCTTGCACTCTCTACTACATGCCAGTCTCTACACTCTCCAGACACTAGACAACTTAAAGTTTTGGACTGGTAATAACATAATTCTAAATGAGAGAAAGTCATCAAAGACACAACCCTACTGCTAACTCATTTTAGGATCATAAATGAGAACCTACAATATGTACATACAACTCAAGCCAAAAACAGAACCTATGTTTGCTCTCAAATTTCTATACTACTAAAAATTTTTGTATTGATGTTCGGACCACAAAAAATACTATAACTAAATAATTTGAAGTGGTAGAAGTTATCAAAACAAATGACCCAACTACTCACACGTGGATCATCATGGAGAACCTACAACATGCACATATAGTCCAAAACAAAAACAGAGTATCAAAAAGTAAATTAAAAAAAAAAGGAAAAAGAAGCTGAACAAAATCAGGAAACTGACCCCAAAAGTGACCAGCCCAGGACCCCTCGCATTCGGCCGTAATCCTTCTACACTATCATTTTCTGTTGGGTCAGACCTACAAATGTATATTAGATGTTTTAAGAGAAACTGGGAAAAGGGAATGAAATGAACATAGATAGCAAAAGGAGAGCCAACCATAACAAATCCATGAGAACAATTGAACCCGCTTCCATCGTAATAGGTCGCTGAATACTCTCGATTTGGTCCACATGATTTATTGATCTTCCAATACCACCATGCATACAGATTATTTTCTTCTCAATCAATGCAGCCAGAGGAAGCCAATTAAATAATCTATTTATCCGATGCCACGCCCAAATTCCATCTCTCTCACCCTGCTCCAGACAGTACATAGTTGAGAAGTCACTTCCAAATGATGGAAAGAACAAAAGTTCAGACCAGAAGCCAAAAGTTCATCAAAAGTATTCACTAGAGACATTACCATGCGTTCAATACACTCAATACGAAAGCCAAAAAGTGCATTGATATCTGCTGCTTCATGATTTCCACGAATTAAATGAACATTGATGGGGTATTCAACCTACACAGATATCAGAGTCAATTACATGCAAATTCAGGGAAGAGATGAAATCTCACAGTAACTGAAGAATAGGAGGAAATCTATGCACCTTTAGAGCAAGAAGAAGGGTAATAGTTTCCAAGCTGTGCTGACCACGGTCGACGTAATCTCCTAAGAAGAGATAATCGATATATCTGATGATTAATTGCAAAAGAAAATTAGTGACTTAAAGAGCTCCTTCAATGATTATACCAAAGCATAATAAACTTGCAACAACTTTTTTGGGGGAACCATATGAAGAATTCACATGTATCATTATTAAAACAATGTTTTTTAAGTGGAGATAACCATATGAAGAATTCACACAAAGGCAGGGAGAAACACATTAGAAACAATTAAGATGTCTAGAACTTACGCAATATCTCCAGCTGTTGAAGGGGACCCATACTCATCAAAAAGGCGCATAAGATCTCCAAACTGTCCATGTAAATCACCAAATATCTTGATTGGAGCCCTGAGCTGTAAAACCGTGGGTTCACTAGAAAAAATTCTTTCAGCGCTGTCACAGAGATCAGCTATCTCGTTGCAATCCAAGAAAAACTGACGCTTAACCGGAGGTTTCCACCCACGAGGCTTTAGAAGATGAGCAATCACCTGGGGAACACATGCAAGATGGTAAAGAAAGTAGCTTTCAAACACAACTATTATTTCTCTATTCGACATTCAAGAAACCTTCATGAGTAAGATTCCCAAAAAAAAAAAAAAAAATTGTTCTCCTTCACACGGTAGAGATTTCTCCTCAATCTCAGTGACAAGAAAGCACTTACCCCAGTCTTGTTTAGTCTAGGATCAAATATCACCATAGTGATAAATAAGAGTATATTTCTTATCATGCAACTTTTATAGGTGTCATGCCTTTTTGGAGTTTATTTCCCAAAACAAAAAAAGAAGAAAGGTCCACATTGAAACAAGAAAATACCTTCTTAGGTACACTATTGATAGACATTTGTCGATCCAAGAGTTTTCTAGCAGCTGTTGCATTCTCTGGAGTCCCATAGCTTACACGTCTGCCTTCATTTTCAAATTGATCAATTGAAAGCTGTCTCACCATCCCCCCTAAAGCCCCACCTGTTTCGGCAGCAACCACCACCTGCCAATACATTTAAGCAGAACTTTAACCCTATGTAACCATACAAGGCAAACAATCATTTTGACAAGAAACCAACAAGTTGATACTGACAGCACGATGATGAAGCCTAACTCCTGCTGGAGCTGAATTGCTTGATGCAGCAGAATCTGGTTTAATCAACGAAGATATCTGCTTCCCACTAGGAGTTGCCTCTGCCCCACGATCCCCCCTATCTGGGAGTTCAACTTCACCGTTGTACTGCCGAGCTTTTGCAGCAGCTAATGTGGCACTTATAGCCTCAGCCTCGGCTGCTGAGGCCTCAACCAAGTAGTCCACACCTTTGCTCAATCTCCTGAGAGAAAAAGTAAATAAAACTCAAAAAGGAGAATCAACATGTAAAAGGCACATTGCAAACCTAGGCATATACATGACACAAAATATCGCAAATCAACCCCATTTACCGAGAACCCTGAAGCATTGCATTTTCCGTGCTAATATCAGTATGCATATCACCATTTACAGGAGGAGCAACTGGAGTTCCAAGTACAACAGCGCCATCAGTAACTGATTCAGAAACTGTCTGCCTGGTCCTCTCATCAATATATCTCCCAGGCAACCTTCCTGGCTGTAGATTAGATACTGCAGCAGCAGCAGCTGCATGTGAAGCTGCAGCTGTTGTTTCCGAAGCAGCCAGATCTTCAGCAACAAGCAAATCGTCAAGCAAAACCCCTGTAAAAACATAAACAAACAAGTTAATGATAACATACAAAGGCTTATACAGCTACTATTTACGATAACAAAGTTCAGTTCTAAAAAGGTCAATAATGAGAATCAAGACGCAACAAAGCTAAAGAAGCAAAATCAAAATATAACAAATAAGGCCAATATCTTTGAAGATGAACGATAACTTGATTATTTAAAACCAGAGATGCAAATCGATGAAAACAAATAATAACGTGAACGCAGAGGCCAGCACCATGAGAAAAGGAAATAATTCATCAGAAACCAGAGAAACTAATAGTTGAATATCTCACCACCACGCAGTCCACCGTAGATAAAGATCAAGTCACCAACAGCAGCAGCAGCATGCCTACAGCGTCTAGTCAACTCAACTGCAGCATCTCCACCAGCAGCGTCAGCACTGAATCTGCCAGTCCTAGGACTAGTAACAACGGACTTCGTATCACACCAGACTCCAGCTGCAGTATCCAGAACTACAGAGAAGAAAAACATATCCATCAAAAAAATGAACCCAGTAACAAGTGACTGCTCCTAAAAATGGAAGAGAACTCTTTAATCGCGGAAAACCACATAAGATAGTACCTGCCACACTTGATGAGTCTTCCACCATCCTTCCACCACCAAGAGCCCCACCAGAAACATGAAGCCTAGCATTTACAAAAACCTAGAATACAGATTGTATAAGTTATAACCATTCTTCACAAACGATTAAATACAGTAATGTTAGGATGCAGAAAATATACAAACTTACAGCTGCATGCTGGTATCTAGCAGATGGTGAGACACCAGGAGCAATTGCCCATTCCCAACGACCATCTCTATGTTTGGCAAGCCCAAATGCACTTGGCAGTGGCTGCATCAGGTTTACATAACAGAAAATTAGTATTGAGACACCCACAAGTTAGTATTTTTATCTGACGGAAAAATTATTATTGAGACAACCACAACCAGATCACGTAACTACCACACAGCAGGGCATCACGGTCTAGAACATTGGATTCTATCATATGCCAAAAGGCATAAGACAATGACCAAGTACAAAGCATAATTTGGAAAACTAATTTTCTGCAGCTAAACCTCAACCGTGAATCAACATGTAGCTAAGAAAGCACAAATTGCTGAAAAAGAATCGAAAGCTAGACCATGTAATTTCGACATCTAACTCTTTTCTTCTTTTTTTGCTTAATAATCAACAAAGACTTCTCTGAAGTGAAGCATTATGACTTTTCATGTACAACCAAAAACAAAAACATCAAAGAGGGGGGGGGGGGATTGGGGGAGAAATTTATAAGTCGTAATAAGCTTCACACCTAACCATACAGGATAATTAACAAGGTCAATCTTGTGACAGCGCCAGTAAGGACAGGTAACAGACAAGCAAAATCTTGTTTAAATAAATGAGCAGGAACATGCATAGAACTTGAAATGCAAGTGAATCCATAGAAGGGGAATAGATCAAGCTCTTTGGCATACCACGCTGTTAGCATCCCTCCCCCCACAAAGCAGAAGAAGGCCATCAGATCGAGCACTTGCCGTGGCATACCTGTTAAAGCAATAGGCAAATCCAAGAGATAAGTACATTTACATGTGAGAACAGCACTCAAGGAAAGCAAATGCACGGAGTGTAGTGCCATTATTCAAACAACAAGGTCATCTATGCGGATCATATATGGCCAAGAGGACATCATACAAAAGTGTATAGCACAGTGTGCGAGGTAGAAATATGGAAATACATGGACTGAAGTTCTCCTAAGCAACCCCAGCATTTTGAATTAGCTGACAAATGTCAGTCTCCGCGAGAAAACAAATAAGTACAAACACAAGCCAAATTAACAAGATTCTGTAGATGCTATGGAAGGCCCCAAGATGATGAGGTTGCATACATTTTTCGGCAGCCATTTAAGCACGAAAAATCAGGCTGTACTATCAAAAGCAAGTTCACATTCTCAAGCCCAAGGAGGTTTCAGGTTGCTAGAAATTGGTCCATGGTTTAGGCACCTACCATGTGATTGCCCCAAAGGGACGAAAGAAAATACAGAGTACCCGATGACTCCTACAGAAGCAGAATGCGGAAGTCCAGATAACCCAAACCACAAAAATTTCGCCATATGGTGGCACAAAATCTTTATGGTTACTTGGGACCGAAAGATCTTAAAGTTAGCTTACACTATCATATCTAAACATTCCATGAATAGGCACAGGATAACTGGATAACTATTATGATCTGGTCATCAAATCAACTGTGACCAATTAAACAACCCCGGAACCCCCGATTCCAATACACCACATGGACCTAAATCTAAAAGGTTTTCGGCTACCTTTAGAGAAAAAAACAGAGCACTCTTGATTAAGAGAAGAAACAGAGAAAGCTGGACCCAAACACGATTGCACTGCATACAAGACTTGAACCAAAGAGAAAACAGTGAAAGCTGTTCCAGTCTGACTAATACTTGCAGATTCATTTGAAGAATGTAAGAATAACAACAATTCACCAGAACTCAAAAAATTCACTTTGTGGTTTAGATAACTGCAATCTACATCAAAAAGCATGCACCTAGCAGTAGGTAAACAGGTAATAGTTGCAAAAGAGAGCTTACACACTCATAGTACTGATGCCCCAACATGAAAAATGGCCCATACAAGAGCACAAATCAGCAAATGAAGCAATTATACAAAATGGGCCAATCAACAATATCACTATAAAGCAGACATGAAGCGTGTATACAATAGGGATATATCATCATTAACACGACACGAAAAATGATTTAACAGAAATGGCAAACATTGGAACCAAACCCAAAAGCAGCAAAAAAAAACAAACAAACAAGAAGAAATTGTCAATTTATGGCATAGGAAACCAGTGAACCATACGTTGCCTCAGGAGTGATGTGGATGAGCAGTCATTCGAGCATCCACACACAAAGAAGAACCTAATTTCCTAATCAACTGAGACTTACCATTAATGGACTCATTAAAGAAACAAAGCAACAAAGAGGAGAATAGATAAACTTGTAGAGAAATAAGTAAACTTACATGCATGGTGGAGGACCTTCACCTTCTGGTTCCAGTTTCCGCCATTCATAGGGTTTCGCAGCTGTGTCCAGCGCCCACACATCAGCTAAAGGCCTTTTCCCTGAAAAGAGTTCACCATAAGTGCACTCCCCACTAAATAAAGGTGACTATGAGGAATTGTTAAATATGAAAGAACACTGACCATCATTTCCACCAATTGCCATGAGATATCTTTGCCCCACCAAAGCCATAACATGACCATAACGCGGCCCGGGTCCAGGCCCTTGAACCACAACCCTAAAGAAAATAAATTGATGGTTGAAGTGAGTCCAATGAATGATTTTTTAGTACAGTTGGCAGCCAGATTTCCAATGAGATTCTCTAGAAAAAAATAGGAACAACTGATGAAAGAGAAGGTAAATGGCTAACCTGTGCCATCGTGGCCGTTGCTGTGTCAAGTCTAAGACATGAAGATCCTCAGCAGACAAACCTGCTGGACCAATGCCACCCTACAATAGAATGGAAGAAAAGATAATAAGGATGTGAATCACCATACACATCACCACTTAAACTGTTCAAAACATTTACTCAAGCTACCTGAATAACCACCATGGTCCCCACAGCAGTAGCTACATGAGCTGCTCGTGGTGTCGGAGGCTCCCCAATAGGAGTGATTCTACATTACAATGGGGATAAATCAGTCTAAATCTAGAAACACAGCCAAAAACCAGCTAATAAGCAATCATAAAACCTTATGTCACGTGAATATCATTTACCTAGACCACTTATTTGTCAGCACATCATAACAATGCACATCGGCTGTGGCCCCGGCTAATCCTGAAATCAAACATAACTACAAGCGTTACAAATTATTTTGTGGAACTTTAATCTCAATAGAGAGAGAATAACAATCAAATCATTCAACTTTCAGCCCTCAACCTATAGAAGAAATAGTAACATAAATAAGTTAACTTTTAACAACATGACACGACTTTCAAGATTCCGACCAAAAACTTAAGTCCATGTTTCCCGTTTTCCTTCCAACATCCTTTAGAAAGTGCTATACAACCCAAAAATGCTCAATTTGGTTATGATTCAAATACATCGGCAGTAGCCCCTGATAAGCCTGAGTTAATCATAATAACGAAAGTTACCAAATTTCTATTATATGTAAAATTTATACTCATCAGATAAAGAAAAACAATCGGATAAAGATTTCATTTTCCCTCAACGTATACAAATTCTAGTTATATATCAACCTTCTAAATATGTATAACTTTTAATTGCATGATTCAAAATTTCAAAATTTAAAGTTCCGACAAAGAACTTAAATTTAACGTTCCTTCATTTCCCACCAACATTCTTTAATGGTTACTACAAGATCCAAACATACCTCAGTTCGCTGAAAATTCAAACTAAATTTAGCTGAATATAGATTTACACAAAAACAAAATGAACTATAAACTTCCATAAAGTTCAAAAAGCTACAATTCGAAAAGGGGCAAGTAAACCACATAGGATGACAAAGAGGAAAAGGAAACCTACGTATTCCAGCACTTCCAGCAGAAGATGGGGTTCCAGAAGCAGCAGGATTCCCTTCCAAAGCCGTGGCACCACCAAACAAAATCAATCTCGGTCCAATATAACCCGGACTCCCTTCTTCTCCAACAGCTGGAACCGCCGTGAGCGTATGCCCACACCTCGGCCCCGGTCCATCCTCCTTCTTCTCAATAATAGCATTCACGACGGAATAAGTTGGGGCGCACCTCGGCCCAACCACAGGAGTGGTATTATTACTACTCTGCTGCGGCTGAGGCGGAGCAGAAGAACCTTGCTGAGCTGACTGCGGAGGTGGCTGAGATCCTAAATTATCACCTTGCTCCGACGACGGCGCCGTACCATTAGCCGTTGCCGTTGCCGGCGAGAAATCCTGATCGGATTCCTCCGCAGCTACCATATTCGCATCCACGTCCATGCTGTTCTTCTCTCCTCCGTCTCCCCCCAAACCCTAAATTGAACACTTCTCCGCACAAGATCCAAATCAGAGCTCCGATTCTGAACTAGTCGCATTTTTTAATCAACATTTTCCAAATCCCACTAAAAACCCTAAATTATCACAAATAATCCTACAACAATCAGTTTAATCACCTCGCCCCCAAACCGAATCCCGACGTTCAATTTTACCCAAAATTTAAAAAAAAAAATAAAAAAAACCCTAATTAGCTCCTCCGATCCTGCACGAATGTCCAGAATCACTTCATTTTCTACACGAAAATTACACTCAAATGGATTGGGGGAAAACGAAAACGAAAATCAGCAAAAAGAAACTGATTTCGTTAATTTGTAATTTCTCCGATTTTTTTTTTTTGGGCAAGATTTGTCGCTCTCTCTCTAAATTAATTCGTCAAAGGCGGTCGAGGAATAATAAGCAAAACGGGGGATGAGAAATGGGGACGGCCAAAGCAAACAGAGCTTGACGAGTGTTTTTTTTTTTCTTTTTTCTTTATTTCAATTTTCTTTTTTTTGAGCTTCTCTTCCTTACCTTCTTTCTCTCTCTTCTTTGTGTTCTCTTCTCTTTCTCTCTTCCAATCCGATCACTTTCTCTCTCTATCTGTATTTTGAAGTGGGCCCCCTTCACTTTTTATTTTTTTAACATATATAGATATATTTATGGATGGATTTATTAAATTTATTTACTATGTGTTGTGTTTTTTTCCTTTCCAAATTGAGAAAGTTAATGTTGGTCATCATTTAGTTTCCCGTTTTAGTTTTTATCAACGACAAACACACTATTAAGGAAATTTAATTGAAATGTTATATGTAATTTCATAAATTGGGCTTGTTTGGCCGAACTTCCATTTTACATTTTTGTCTCCCTCTTAAATACCTTTCAAATACAAATCTAAATACTATCCAAACAACTTTTTAATTTATCTTTTAAAATATATTCCAAAAATTATGTTTATACAATTTTCACCCACCACCACCCCGCCACCGCCGCCGGATTATCGCCGGCCGGCCGGGCCGGTGGCGGCGGGTGGTGGTGGAGGTGGTTCGGTGGTGGTCTAAAAATATTATTAGTTTATTTAAAATATCACCCAAACAATTTTTTAAATTTTATCTCAAACTACATTTTAAATCACATCTCAAACCCAAATTAAAAACCAAAACAAAAACTAAAACAAAATGTTGGCCAAACAAGCTCATTATTATCATTAAAATCATTATTCACTTACTACGGGCTATGTAATACGATACTCTCCTTCAATAAATGTTATACTCAAAGCAAAATATAATAACCAATTAGTTTGAAATGTGTCAAAGTCACCTTGGGCTCCCATCTCAAAACCAATTGGCAATGAGTGGGATGGCCTTTGGCACTTATAAACAGGTGACAGATCCTTCACGACACCGATGTGGGATTCTTATTGTCCCAACAGAATGCACTCGTTTCTTGCGTGTTTGATTATTTAAAATTAAATATAGAGTAATAAATATTGTTGAGAGTAATATCCTGAATAAAGTAAAAAAAAAAAAACAATAATGTGCTAATATGATGTTCATATTTATAGCGACGTAATCTTTTTTTTACAATAAGTGAGGCTAAAACCCTAATTACAAGAGATTAATATACTCTTTAAGAAGGAGACACCAATAACATCATGTTTCAATTATTGTGGAAGTTGATAATGAAACCCCCGGTCTTCGAGCATCAATATCGGTCATAGAGTTTGCAACGAATTAATTTGTGCAAATGAACTTCTAGTAGTATCTAAAAAGCCACTTTATGGTATTTTTTTTATTGGAATGCTTGCAATATAAAAGTATATTAAGTGCCAAAACAAACACATATATACAATATCATTTACTATCTTTGTTCCGAAAAGTAATTTGTATTGGATTCTAAAATTTGCAATCTCAATATAAGTTAGTTTGTTGAGATAGAGAAAGTATAATTCAGAGGAAACGAAAAACCTGAAAGTTTGACGACTATAAATATCTTAAAATTTGTTCTTCCCGAACCATACATGGTAGTATAGTATATTTTTCAGCTTAAAAAAAAGGATTTCTTTTGGGATAGAGAGAGTATAAGTCAAAACAAGTACAAATTTTAAAAATCAATGTAAAATTATTATTTTTTTTAGGACAGATGGGGTATAATACACATGAAATGAATAGGCAAAAAGTTTGACGACAATAACTATCTTCAGGTATGTTCCCCTCTCGAACTATATAGTAAAAGTACATTTTTTGGCACAAAGAAAGAATTTTCGTTGGGTTCGAATTGTAATAGTACATTTCGACAAAAAAGGAAGAGTTTTGGGGACAATATTGCATAATTGAGTGGAAGGGAATTTGATTGTTTTCTTTTCTTTGTTCTTCTTTGATCGGTTCTCAGATGCGGGAGGTTAGTTTTTTAGTTCCATGACCTAATCTCTGCATATGGCAGGCTGATGATGTTTTTCATGGGAAGATACAATGTTCTCTATTCTACTACTTTAGTGGCCCTTACGAATGCTACTTGAGCCAACAATTGACTCTATCAAATGACAGCTTATTGGTTTGACTAAGGAAACAATGAGATAAAAAAACTGCTTTTCAACTCGAAGGTTTTTTAGACTTTAGTCTAAATGTTCAACTTGCCCTACATTATACATGACTTCATGATATGTCTTAATTTTCGACGTGGAATCATATTTCCAGTAGCTTTTCTGACTTGAGTATCAGAACCAAAACCTTATGAGCTTTAAAGTCTTATGATAGTTAAGCGATTTGTGATTCATTACACTTGCATCAACACATTGTTTTTAATATAAAAATCTGAGTAGAAAATGAGGGTGAGTAAAGGAAACCTAAACGAAGAAGACCACAACTTAACTAACTGCCTTTGTTAACTTTGACAATTTGTTAGGGCAATACAACCGAATATGTTCAAAAAATTTGGCCTCCAACATACAAAAGTCTGTCCTAGCTAATGCTGATATGGAGATTTGGATTAGTAAGGTGTTCTCCATTTCTGCGAGAACATAACTTCTTAGCTATCCACAAAACACCATCACTACCGGGTTAGCTTGGCAAAAGAACATGACCTAAAACATTGAGGTCAATCTTCCCCTGAGTTTTCCTCCTTCCCAAAATCACCTCCTCTGATGATATAAACCTGAAAATGATGAAATATAATTTGTAATGTTCCATTCAGAATCTCATCAAGGAGGGTAAAACTAAGGTGCAAATCAATCGAGACCTTAAACACAGTGGGCCGAGTTAATTGGAAAACCAAGGCATCTCCATCAACCAAGTCATGTTCCAGAGAGAACTTTCTCCATCCGCCACTAAGTCCAGTTTTCTGAGCCAAATATACCGTGGGCCACTCCTCACCTTGTTCGTCCACCAATGTGACTGTGTCGTCGCGCTTTGGGAGGTGCTTCTTGCAAAAGTGATTCGGAAGACCCTGTAATGTATATGGATTATGGACAATCCTTGTAAAGTTATCATGTAGTTCTATATCCGACACATGTAATCAGGTACAAAATTGCTGAAATGAAGGCCACCTGGTAACCATACTTTATTTCTCATCAAGAATTCTAGCCACATTTAGGGTCAACTCAAGAACCAATCTGCTGGATAACATTACAAATTGTTGGAACAGATATGAATGTAGAAATAAAGGAATCCTGGTCTCTCATATGTGGTAGTACATCTTGAGTACATATATAATAGACTAGAATGATAGTGTTGCTAAACCACACATGACAAGGCAAGATCATGTGCCATCTTTTTAAAGCCTGCACAGGCTCTAAAAGCATACGCCAAATCTAGCATTTCCAAATCCTATGCTATCACAAATTATCAACACTTCAGAAGGAAGTCCACAAATTGGGTGTCAATATTGGGGAAACAGATTGATTGGATTCAGCTACTTTTGGAGCATTAATTGCTGAATTTTAGACATACAGAATAAACTCTCGGTTTCAAGATAAGGGAAAAATTGGACAAGACAGCTCTATTGAAGCCAATTCTTGCTGCTTACCTAATCCCCATTACCTATCTGTTTCAAAACCGTGTTCTAAGAAATAGCATGACCAGCAATATAACAGATAGAGAGAGCAAGCAAACAAAATTAAGAAGCACACTATTAGGCATATTTCAGGGGACAAAGGGCAGAAACTAAAGCCAAAACAGGTTATGCAGCTGTATTTCACGATTCAACTCACACAGTTCAAGCACAAACACAGAAGAAAACGCCCAGAAATGATGATAAGAAAAAGTCATTACCAGCCAAAAGCCACCAGTTACATGGGATTGAAGCATGGGTTTCACGAATGAGGGATAACCCTCTTCCAGAGTTGATTCCAGTTTCTCAGCTTCATCAATAGCCCAAGCCCTTGCTTCATCAGAGGCATAAACCCTGTTTTCCAAATCCCTTCTCGATTTCGAATACGATATTCTGCACAGAACCCTTTTCGATTATGCTATAATGCGCAATTAATGAAGAGAAAATTGCATAAAGAATCAATCTTTTCACCTTCTAGGCATCAGTACTCGCTCATAAAACGTGACCTGTCGGAAATAACTGAACTTTAGAACAACCCCCCACAAAAAAAAAAAGAAAAATTCTGGAAATCAATGAAAGGGTTATCATTATACTTCTTTGTAATCAGGAGTTGGCTTGTTTGTTAAACGGCCTGATCTTCTCACTGCAACTAGCTCTGTTCCAACTGGACGAGGTTTTACCCTCTTCATCTTTTGATTTTTTGAAAAGGAAACCAACAAAAACATAGCAACAGGAAACCAAAAAGATATCAGCTTCTGATTCTGAATTAAAAAAAAGAACTGAAAATAAAAGGTAGCACATTACATACAGGAGAAATTTTAGGAGAGGAAGCTGATTTGTGGAGGGCTTGAGAGAGTAGAGGAAGATGGAGCTGTTCCAGTTTCTTCTTGTTTTCTTCCATCCTCTGATGCCGCATTTCCTCATATTTCATCTTCGACATCACCATTTTTTTCCTTCAGTGATGAGGCTCTCTGATCAATTTCAGAGAAGAACAGAACTACAGAAGTGAAGATTATCCGAAGAGAAGAGTGGAGAAGCCACAAAAAAGGTATTTCCTTTGGTATTCTGTCATTAAAATGAAAAAAGAATGAATATAATTCAAAATGAGGGGGGTTTCAAACGGTGCATTCACACAGACACACAGGACTCCACTCTTTTAACTTTGGGAATCGGGACTTAAGTTTGGTCAGTGGAGCCATTGTGAGCATTTTCCCCCCTGATTTGATTTGCTCATTTTATGATTTTTATTTATTAATTAGTATTAGTTATCATCATCTTTTGGAAGACATTTTGGCATTTTGCTGTCTTTTATTACTAGATAAGAAATTCCCATGCAAGTCGAAAATATTTGATTTAACATTTTAATTAATGAATATAACTTTTTCATGCAAAAACTATCATTTCGAAACAAATATGCGATTTGAATTTTCACTTTCAACGCAAATTTATACTCTTTCCGTCCCATAATTATTGTCCAGTCTAAATTTTCAATTTTAGATCAAATTATACTAAAAGTGAAATCTCAAACTGAACAATAATTTTGGGACAGAAAGAGTATTAAAAGCAAGAAACCCAAACAATATAGAAATCAACCGAACTCATGTCTTAACCCTAAATCTTATCAAATAGTCTAAAATGCGTTCCCAGTTCCTAACACTTGAAATTTCGAAATAAAACTGAAGAGTGTTGTATCCGGAACAGACCGCGTAAACCAAACCTGAATAATATCCAGATTATATACTACTAGTAGTATCTATAATTCGTTACTCTTCCCAAAAAGAAAGCACTCAAAACAAAACGTAAAAATTGCCAAACATTTTTCGAATTCCAAATACAACCACTTCTTAAACTCAGTAGGAGGCTACTAAATCTTCTCTATCTAGCAACTAACACAAGGCAGAAGCATTGGTACAGCAATCATCTAAGTTCACATAAATAGTTGGACCAGATCTTTTCCGTGTCAAAGTATGCTGGTGAAAAGCACGCACAATCTTCAACTCGGGAATCACCTCTGGTTCTTTACATTCTGTCTTCCCTCCTTCGCGGGGCGCAAGTAATGATTTCGTCAACTCTCAAAATCATCTCTGCAGCCTCAGTGGCGGAGAGCAATACAGCTTGCTTTACTTTGAATGCTTCAGAAATTCCCAGCTCTGCCATATCTCCAACCTGGTATTAATGCCAAAAAGGGAAAATCTAACATCAGATAATGGCACAAAACCTGAAAGGAACAGTGGCTACAGAATATATATATATATATATATATTGCAAAGTAGATACTGGATCATCCTTAGTTCACATCTTTTAAACATTATCTCATTATCTTTGGACTAATGCATCAACTAAACAATTGCATAAGCTTAATTGCATGTGCAAATCATGCAAACCTCAGCAATGAAACAACGAGTAAGTAATAGATGGCAGATGAACTGAATGAATGAGAAAATTTACCCCCTCTGTAAGATTCCAAATCATCCAGACAGTTTACAAACTTATACAGGTAAAGGCCCAAGAAACAAAGAGTTGAATAAACGATGATACAAGAGCTGATAGATATTACAAAAAGCTCTACATGCTAAATAATCCAGTAGAAATTCCGACTCGAGAAGTCTAATGGTCCGCAATATGATACATATCCAGATAGCATAATCCAGTAGAACAATAATGAATCGAGAATATGATACTTACAGATCCAGATATGACATCAATGCCTGCAGTACTTCCCTCCTTGTGGTGTTCCGCACGGAGTTGAGAAACCAATTCAGCACTGTCAAGACCAGCATTATCAGCAATTATGGTTGGAATAGCCAACAATGCTCGAGAAAAAGCTTCAATGGCATGAGATTTTTTGCCAGGGGTCTTCCTGGCCAGTTCATCTACTGCCTTGGCCATCACCATCTCTGGCCATCCACCTCCAAGCAACACCCTGCTGTCATTCACCGTCTGAGATAGAACACACAAGGCATCATGTAGGGATCTATCAGCTTCATCTAGCACATGAGAGCTGCACCAAGAGTCAAACACATTAGTTGGCTTGCAACTGTAAAGCTAAAACAAGAAAAGAAAAAAAATAGTTTCACAGCTAACAAGAATCTAGAAATGAGAAGATGCCTCTCCGAGTACTATTTTACTTATCAAATCACAAAATCTGAAAGAAAAAACATTAATTAAACTTTCTCCTTCCTAAAATGAATGGTGAAAAAGGCACTACATCAGAAGCACCAGAAATGGAACAATAAAATAAGCATATGTAATTTCAGGAAAGCCCATATGTAATATTCTAAAGAAAGAACAAAAAATAATTTGCCCTACTGCAATGAGAACAAGTGAAATGCGCCAAGTAAGTTAGCACAACAGATGAGGTACTAGAGCTATCACATAATTACCTTGCACCCCTAAGCACAATTGTACAGGCTTGTCCCATTTCACAACCAGAGAAGTGGATTAATTTGTCCTCACCAATCATAATTTCTTCAATAAGTTTGCATTGTCCAAGCTTGACAGACTCAGGATTATCAAAGGTTGATGCAATCTCCCCACCAGTTACAAGAGCAAGACGCTCAATTCCCTCAAAATCAGCATGTTCAATTGCAAGTACTCCAGCATCAGCAAATAATTCCTCAGGGAAATTGTAAATCAGCTGGCGGTTTACAAAACAATTTATCCCGTGGGATATAATTTTCTGCACTTTCTCCCTCATCTTATCTTTTTCTGCACCCTCAATTTCCGCAACTTTGGACATTGAATCAACACGAACACGTGCCCCGTAGATTTTCACTTTATCTGTATCCATTGCGGTATTGGCCACCAAAATCTTTGCATTTTCAATTCTCTTGGGTTGTCCAATACCAATTTTTTTGTCCAAAATGAACCTGCAAAACAAGAATCAATATTATGCAAACATAAATTGGGTCTTAAAACCGACCAGGAGGAAATTCTCAGAGCATCAGTAACCTAGAAGCAACACATAGAAATAATGATAACACCACAAAAATTTTGCAACACCACGAACATGCAAGTTAAACAATTCGCAACTTGTTAAGCATAGAATTTCCCATCTACTTAAACAATAAGAGATACTCTGCATAAAATTTGCAAATGTGCAGAATTGAGTCCAAAAAAAATGACGAACAAGTACCATACTAAAGTAAACAAACTTTATAAGCATATGATTGCAAATCTCCTGAACAAACATACATCCTTGAAAAAGAAAGGCCGGTAAACCTAACTATGCAATTTACAATTCTGAAAAGTATAATGATTTCTACACAAAACATAACCTACCCCTCATCCAGGAAAGAATCTGTCAAAGAGCCTCCAGGCTTCTTTATAATTTGGATAGCCTCCAGGTTCGTACTGCCCTGTCATTTTAGACAAAATATTAGAATGATCGATCTTGGAATTGACATGCACCCAAAACAGCAGAAAATACCAAAGATACAGTTACCTTTAGCCTCATGACAGCATCAACGGCTAGTTTTGCGAAATGTTCCTTGTCCTGAGACAAGATTTTGGAACTTAAAGTAGTCATTGCAATCTTCATTAAATCAGATTTGAATTTCTCTGCATCAAAGGACAGCTTCATTAATGAGACAATACAAAATAGGGTGAAAACAAGTGATGATTTAAACACTACTGCAACAAACAATAAGGTGAGAATAGCTCTAGCACAATAAATGTACAGATAAATGGAGCACATAAATGTACTATCAGAATATAGTACTTGAACGAACATATTAAGATGTGGAAACTTATTTTAGTTAGATGCCAAGAATGCCAAGAAGTCAAAAGTTCAGTAGTACCTGCATCTTGTTTATTGTCAACAACCTTCTCCAACAACGCATTACGAGCACACTCAGCAGCCATTCGAAAACCTGACAACAGAAACATCAATTCAGAATAGAATAAAGACAGGGATACTGCAGTTAAAAGTGGCATATAATAGGAAATCTTCAGAGTAATAAGCTAGTTAAAATGAAAAACCAATCTAGCTTCATTTTAAACACACCATTACCTCAAAACACAAAAGTAACAGGAAAATAATAATCTCTCCAAGGGAAATGCAAACGGAGTATGAAAACATCATCCAAATTGAACACACAGCCTAACGACAAATTCACAATAAACAGAACGAGCATCATTAAGCTCACGAAGAAGGCCACACGAAAGATATATTTATATTTCACAAAAGTACAAAACAAACCTGAGATGATTGTCATTGGGTGAATCTTTGCATTCACCAACTTTTCTGCCTCCCGAAGAAGTTCTCCAGCCAAAACAACAACAGAAGTAGTCCCATCACCAACTTCATCATCCTGGACTTTTGAAATGTCTGAAGATTCGAGTTAAGGCACACAATGCCTCTCTATATAGCTAAGATATTTTTAATAGAAACACATAGGTAATGCTATTAATAAACAGAATAGGAGCAGCCTCAAGATTGATCATAATAAATAGGAGCCGAAGAAACTCTATCTCATTCTTAATCATAAAAAATAGTGGCCAGTAGGTAAGGATCTCCACAGTTGACCCAAGAAACAATTTATAAGCCACAATACAGTTACAACACTAAGGCTGAAACAAACATGAGGATACCAACAAGCACTTTTGCAGCTGCGTTGTCAATATGCAGGGACTTTAAGATGGTTGCACCATCATTGGTAACAGTGACACTTCTTCCCCTGCCTGTTGATTGTAAAATCTTGTCCTGAAATTGTAAAACAAAAGTGTACTTAAGTAGGTACGAGCATCCATTTAGCAAGACAGAGCAGTAAGCAAAGAGTGAGGTCTACCATTCCTTTAGGACCCAAAGTTGTCTTAACTAGGTCAGCTATTGCCATAGCACCAATAAAGGAAGCCTGAAAGATATCAAAGAATAAGCATTAAACGGCTAAACTATGAAGTTTCCCCCCGAAAAAAAAAACCGAAAGCACGAGTTGCTCTATTTAATTCTCTCAACACAATATTTGAACTGACTACCATGGAACAGTTCAAATCGACATGAGGACTTACCATTCTAGCTCGGTCACCCTTCTCTTCAGTAGCTTCATCTTTGAAGAGTTTCTCAACCTAATTGACCAAAAGAAGAGCGATAATTAATACCAAAATTTATCTACCACAAGAAAACCTAAATTGACGTAAGGAATTATAACTTACAGCCATCTCTGAAGGATTTGAGATACAAATCTCAGACCAATTTGCTTAAAATGATATCTGAAAGTAAACAAGAAAAAAAAAAATTCATTAGTAAAACAATAACAGCAAGTCGGCAACAACTAGGCCTTCTCCGAAGGAGCAAATGAATGAAGTAGCCCTATTGAGAACCAACAGATCCAAGTGCCGTATCTTTTTCAAACCAAAAGATATTTAGCAAACCCAACAAATAAAGTTAGGCTTCAGTCCAAAACCAATAATACATTTCAAACGAACAACACCAGGAATACGGGCGGGTAAGGAGAACAAAGGGATGGAAAATGGAAGTTTACCTCAGATTTCCAACTGGATCGTTTATAGGTGCGCAATGGCGTCGGAGAAGAGCAAGGTTAATCACCGGCGGCGGAGGAGATGGTGGTGGTGATCGGAAGGGCAGTGTGTCTGGAGACCACTAGAGTGTTCCGGCACCTTTGAGAGTTCTGCGTAAAGAGGCGCCTCTTTGTGTGAGGTTTAACGTCGCGAATTTCCACTTTAATTCCTATATTTTGTTAAATTGCATTTTCCCGGATAATTTTTTTATTTATAACGAAAGAAAATTTTTTTTTACAATTTTTCTTTCTTTATAAGTAATGGGCTAAATGCTTTATTTCTGCCGGATTTTGATTGTATAATACTTACTTTTGTCTCATAATTATTGTCCTGTTTGAGATTTTATTTTTAGTACAATTTGAACTAGAAATAAAAACTCAAACCGGACAATAATTATGGAACGGAGGAAATAGTAGTTTTTTGGGGCAAAGTTAACTAACAATTGAGTTATTGTTTTGATAATGTTAAAAAAAAAGTATTTTCTTGAACCAAGGTTTTCATTTGCATTTTTTTACTTAAAATCCTCTTTTACTATTTACGATTTGATTAATATACAGTAAAACCTCTAAAAATTAATACACTTGGCCTCCAAAAATTTATTAATTTATAAAGTTATTAGTTTATCGATGAATTAATAATTATTAATTGATCAATAAAATTAATAATTTATTGATTTAAAGAGTTTTTTCAATTCTATAAGTAAGAAAATACAAAAACTTATTATTTTTACATTAAAAAAAAGTCCATTGCAACCCTAACATAACACGAATAATAGAATTGAAAATTGTATACATAAATGGAAATACTTAAGTTAAAATCAAAGTTAATCATCAACTCTAATTTATTATTTTAGTTATTTATTAATTTATAAAATTGTGGGACCTATATCTACGTAGGAGGTTTTTAAAAAATTATTAATTTATAATTAATCAAATTTTTATTTTTTTTAAGAACTCAAATTAAGAGGGATAGCGGTAGACCGACTTGAAAAGAAACTATAAAAAAGGATTTGAAGTATTTACATTTGAGGGATGATTTATGTAATGATCGAGCATGATGGCGACATATGATCCATATAGCCGATCCCACCTAATGGAAAAAAGGCTTGTTGTTGTTATACTGGTCCCAAGTTAGGACCGGAAAAAAATATTATTTAATAGAGATCAGATTATTAATTAATAGATGATTCATTTAGGGAGATTTTAATGTAATCATACATTATAAGTGTTATGATTCACTCAAAATATAAACGGATGGAAGTAAATAGCTAAATTTGTAGTTTACTTTACAAAAATACTGTCTATTTTTACAATAATGTACATTTCTACAAACCAAAAGAGTTCCATTACAATTCCACTATCTACTGCTTCTTATTTACATCTATCAGTTATATAACTCAGTCAAAATTGCAGCATCTAATGCAGATTTTAGGCCATGTTTACAGCACTCTACTAAACAATGCACTTCGTGTTTAACGCCTTTTAACACCGTTTCTTCATCCATGCTGCTTCTAGTGTGGATCCTGACACTCCTCTCCTTCCAAACATTGTAAATCACAATAGCCATTGTTGCAAACTTATTCATCTCTTGAGTTTTGTTCTCTTCCAACATTTTAGCACTAGTTCCTTCTGATTACATATAATCCTCTTAATGGCTAACCAATGCAATGCATTTTTCAACAATGAAGCAGAGAATTGGCAGTCAAAAAATAAATGTTTAGAGGATTCTACGCTATGCTGATAGAGCACACATCCAATATCACTAACCAACAAGTTCAGTTTAACTAATATCTCTCTAATTAATAATCTATTGTTCCAAACCCACAACAAAGCCATGGTTTGGAACATTAAATTTAGACCATAGAAACTGATGAGCAGCTACTAGTCTATCACATTCTCCTACAAGCCAGTCGTAACCAGAGAATATTGTATACCTTGGGCGTGTATGGTTCTATTTTGAGCCAGTTACTTCATTCTTCATTAGGTCCTTCAGTTTCAGAATCTGTTTCCACTGCCACCTAGATCCTTGCAGTGGTTGCATCTCCCGAAAACTTTTCTTTTATAAATCTCATGGATCCATTTCATTCAGAGATTATCCTCTTTCTGTGCAAGATTCCAAACTTGTTTCATAATTGCAGCCTAATTCTCTGCTCATCTCTTATACTCAACCCCCCTTTCTTCTTGCTTCTGCACACCTTTTCCCAGCTAACTAAAGGCATTCTAGACCTACCATCTTTGATATTCTATAGGAAAGTTCTGCGAATTCTTTTAATTTGTAGAGTTATACTCTGAGGGAGTATAAAATTAAGTCTCAGCCCAATAATTCTTCATGGCCATTAGAACAGAATTTATCAGTTGTAACCTTACAGTATAGCTGAGCTTTCTAGAACTCAAACACTTGATTTTTGCTATCATTTTTTGGATTAAACTGTCACATTCCAGCTGGTTCCATTTCCTTTATTTTATTGGAAATTTCCCTACCCTAAACCCTGTGATTTCATATATATTCTCTCTCATTTGCTAAAACTCCACCAAAACAGACATCTGATATCGCATCATTGGCAACCAAACCTGTAGTAGCTAAGAATTTTTTAACACCTCCACCACTTTACTGAAAGTATGTTCATCTGCCTTACAGAAAGCCATAAGGTCATCTGCAAAGCAGATCTTCATTAATTTTAGACTTTTGCATTGTCGGTGGAATTTAAACTGCTTATCTTCTGCAACATCATTCAACAATCTGGTAAGGTATTCCATAATGATCACAAAAATTAGCGAAGACATGTGCAATAATTCCCATCGTCCTTTGAAAAATCACAGCTCTCACCATTTATATTAATCAAAAAGGTAGAAGAAGTTAAACATTCTATCACCATTTTTGAAAAGCTTTTTGGAAAGCCATACTCATCTAACATCTCCTAAATGAACTGCATTCCACAAGTTCATCTGCTGTCTGTAAGTCAATCTTTAAGAGACATCTTCCACTGATTTTTTTGGTCTATAAACCCCAATTAGTTCATGAGTTATCAAGACATTGTGCAAAATCAGTCTCTTACTGACAAAAGCACTATGATTTCCTTCCTCCAGATCACGGAGAACACATTTTTTTTAGAGAAATTCAGGGTGGTACCTGGTGGGCATTCCCTCGATTTTAATTTAAATTTAAAAATTACAATAAGCAATACTTAAAACTTACCCAAATAGAAGAAACCGCCTTACAAAGAATTTCTAAAATCCCATGACGGTTCTAATACAAATTAGAGCTAATAACTGCCTTACAAAAATTTTTCTATAAATCCCTAACAGTTCTTTTTCCAAATTATCAACTATGCTAAGAATCTATTTTACAAAGATCCTTCAAGTATCTCATAACAGCTCATTTCGCTTAAATAAAATTAAAGACACTAAATTTAAATACAATTTATCTAATCTGTATATACGGAAAAGATATTCTATCTAGAAATTATTTACCTCTTATTGAATCTGGGAGACTTAAATAGTCCCAATATTGCATTCTACTACCAACTGATGCTCTCTTTATTAGATCATTGGCCACACTACTCACCTCTCTATGGATATGAATGATCTTGGAATTTGAGGAGTAAAGCATTTTTTGAATTTCAGTCAAATAATGGCAATACCTCCAAGGATAGCGTTTTGTTTGTTGAAGTAGAGTAACAATTGTGAGGTCATCCGTTTGTATAGTTACCCTGTCTATTCCACTTTTAGCACATGCTTTTAATCCGTTGAGAATTCCTTCAAATTATACTGTCAGACTTGTTGCTTCTCTGATGTTGCATTCCACTTTTATAAATTCTCCATCATATCCCCAACCCGATTGTCCTGGCTATCCTAATGCTGAGCTGTCTGTATTTAGCACTTTTCTCCTCGGATAAGGTGGCTTCCAAATCAAAGAAGTGAAAAGCTTTCTTCTTGGCGGCAAAACTTGTACTTTGAAAATAGTTTCGAATTACTTTTGTTCAGCTATTGATTTTGCCTTGATCTCATGTACACTTAACATGTTTGAGATGTTTGTTTTAATATCACAAATCATCTGCTCTAAAGAGCAGTTTACCTTCATAAAAAACTTTATTGCAAGCCTTCCAAATCTCCCATATTACAAAAACTGGAAGAACCATGAATATGGACCTTTTTGGCTGACTTATAGCTTCCAAGTGTGTGCCACATTTTCACATTTGACCATAAACCTGCATGGCTAGTAACGTGAATTCCAAATAATGAAGAGAAATAGTTCCAAACCTTTTTAGTTATAGAGCATGTGAGAAAAACATGATGCTATCTTCCTCCGCAAGACAAAGAGGGTACCTTGATGGATGAGAATTATATTTGCATTCTTTCTAGTACTTCAGGAAAAGGAACACATTTGTTAAAAAGTTTCCACAAGAAAAAATACATTTTCAAAGGTATCAATTTATTCCAAATATTGTAAAGAACTCAACTTCGATTATGTTGGTATGTTTGAATAAAAAAAAAACTCCACTCAATTTTGAGGGCTGTTTTGAGAAATTTTTTTATTTATTTTAAGGATCAAAAGATAATCAAACAAAAAAGTTCCAATGTGAAAGACGTACTAAAAATTATTACAAACCCATCCTCTGAAATCTCTACAATATGCATATTAGTTGATTTTCAAAACAACTCTAAGCCTTGCAACGCCAACTCCAGGGCCTAGAGACCAGAACTCCAACAATGATGACAAAGACACAAAAAACGGTCCATTTGGCACTGGTTGGGACTGCATTGAGCATGTGGAAACTGAGAAATCCATCACCAAGCAGAAACAAAGAGAATAATGGCACAAGCGTCAAAGCATCTCCGACTCTCCTCTCCCAAGGGAGCTTGGCAACTCCGTGAAATAAGATGCAGTGAGAAGAGTCATGGCAGAAATAATGATTACTGGCTATCCTGTTGTATACAAGGGCTGGGCTGTTTTGAGGATATACTTCCACACGGGATGAGATAGAAGTTTTTTCAGCAGTTCTCAATTTCTTTCGAACATAGAATTATAAGTACATTATATAGAATGAGGTGGCAAAATTCATGCTACCTTTGCCTTCCTTTAGTTGCTTCTTCAAATTTTACTTGGATTGATTTCTATCTGCCAGCAAATTTTCTTCTTGTTTCCATTCAATATAAAATTTTATACAAAAATTTGACCATATCAATGCACTTTTTTTTTTCATTCGAAAGCTTATCTTTCGACTTTGTTTCTTCTTCCTTTCAAACATCTATATAGATTAAGTTTGGTCCTAAATTTCGAATCTTTAATTTCAGTTTGCTTTAAAATTGTTTCTTAAATATTCAGACAAGATTCCTTAACATCAAAAGTAAGAGAAACGACCAATCCCACTTGTACTCATTGTGCAGATGATACAATAATAGTTATCCAGTTCAATTAAAATCCATTTAGAAGGGAGCTTCCTGTTTGTGAGATAAACTACGATATGTATAACCGTTTCTCACCATTTGTCTTCCGACGCCCTGTTGTTATGTGGTTTTGAATGTTCTCTCCCAGCCCCCTCCTCGTGAGTTTTAGCCAAGTTGATGGGAGTAACTGATTTTGAGGCTTAAGCACTGAAGATCTTTGTTCTATTGGTGTTATTGTGCTCTGGCAAAACGAGAAATCGGAACATTTTGAGAAATTCCTATTATTATCTACTTTGATTTCATTCTGGGGTGATGATATTTTTGGTGTATGAAAAAAAAAAAATGGAACCTGACAAGCATGCACGTGATTTTATTGATGTCAAACAAAAAGTACAAATAAATTAAACTTGATGTCAAATAAAAATTACAAATAAATTGTTTAATAGTTACCCAAAAAACATTGATGTTAATTTTTGAAATTCTGTATAAAACATATGTGCATGTATATGTAGTGCAGATGATACAATTAAACGGACTATATAGTTTTAATAATTAATTATTCATTACTCATAAAAAATTATTAATCTAACTTTGATTAGTTAAAAAAATTAAACAAGTTGAATATTGAAATCATTTACATGAGTAAATATATAGTCTCAAAACATTACCTCATGTGATGTTTGTTATTTAACATGGTAAACAATACTCTTTCAATTATTTTTTGAGAAGTTGGTCAAAAATCGCTTAATCGTAAAAGTTTTATTGTATTGTAAAGAAAAAAATTTCAAAAAATAAAAAAAATTGAGAAACAATAATTACTAGTGTAGTAGTCATATGATTATTATTATTTTATTTAATTAGGATAAATCTTGTTTACATTACAAGTATTGTTTTAACAAATTATTAATCGAAGTATTTGGGCTAAATTGATTAAGCCATTTATTTAATCAAGGATGCAATAGCAAAGAAATATATCACTTGGGGATTGAAATACAAATTGTAGCTCAAGGGTGTCATGGTGAGATATAAAGGGTGCCATCCTACGAAGTTAAAATATTTAGATTAAAAATCCAAGGCTCAAAGCTAAAAAAATGAAAAATTACTATATTATATGATCAAAATTACTATATTATACGAAGTTAAAGGATACTATAACTTCTTTTTCTTTTTCTTTTTGACACATTTCCTTTGCTCTTATCCATTGATTAGATTGTTTAAGGCTAAAAAGATGCCAATCTGCGAACTAATGGTGACACCGCTCCCTTTTTAGTCTTCTTCTTCTTCTTCTTTTACCTTATTTTCAAAGCATGGGGCTTCTCTTTTTTTTGGCTCCGTCCAATTTGTTGTGTTACCTAAAGTACATTCAAGAATGTCATAATATATAGTTCAGAATAAACTACACATCAGAATGTCTTGACTCTTGATAGTCCTATAAAATGATAATACATTTAGTATTGTCTTATTATTATTTAACAACTAGTGACACTTAATTTTGTTTGCACAAGTATAACTTAAATTACACTTGATAATGTCTCAATAGATTAAAATATAAAACTACAGATATTAGCGGCCTAATTAGAATATAAGACGACATAATTTTTAATTTAGTAAAAGCTTAATATCAAATGTCATAATTGGTAGTTGTAAAGACACTAACCATATATTGTATTATTAGGTATGAGTCTTGAATAAGCTAAATGTCTTAATAAAAATCTATTATGACATTAACATTTAAATGTCACCATAAAGGTGTCACCATAAGTACTTTTTCTAGTAGTGAGGAACGTTTTTTTTTTTTTTTTTATTTAATGTGATGGTGTGCATATAGTTAGAATTTTCCACATTGACATGTACAGTAACATGTATAGTGACATATGGTTATATTTAGTAGTTGTATGTTTCTTTGAATTTGGTTATATGGTTTTGGGCCGAAATAACAATTTTATGACCACAAATTTGTTCTAGTACTGAATTCACTCAATCTGGTACCAGTTAACAGGTGAATCAATTACCGGCGTATGAAGTCTTAGTTCTTCGACCCCCATCTCCTTCGACTTTGAACAGCTTCCAATCTCTTTCACCCCTGACAGATCTTCTTCTCGAACCTTCCTCACAGGTTTAACGACAACCTTCTTTCTCTTTGCTGGCCTCGCCATGGCTGATACATTCGAAGCGTACCGCTTGATTAGGAAAAGAGTGTTGTAGAAAAAACAGAGAAAAATCGCATGCAATAAAGGTGGATTCGCCCACAGTCGCGCGTGTGCGAACGCGTGTTTTTAAAGTCTTTCTTCTTGATTTTCAAAAGGGTCGATTCTTAGGGAAGCAGATTAGACTGAAGAAAAACACACCACCTCTGGCACCACAAAACTTAGTAGCTTACTTTATTAGGAAACTTGCAGTATATGTTTTTGGCCATGGCTGCCACCACCACGACAAAATTAGCTTCAATCTTCACAGATTCTACTTCTTCACTTTCACTTGTACGATTTTCAGCTCGCAGCAGAACACACTCGTTAACCTACCCGCATAATTGCACCCAGAAATGCCACCAAGAAATCAAAATTTTTTTTACATGCGAGTGCTCACGGAATACTATCAATATAATAAGCCAAGTTAGAAGCTTTGGCAGCTCTGAATCTTCCGCTCTTTTTGCTGATGTTGAGTCGAATCCTTACGCTGTTTCCTCAAATGGGTATCCCTCGATTACGCCATTCCAACTGTTTCTGTTTGAAAATCGCTGTTCTTTTGTTTAATGTTTGATGAATTATGGATGGAGTGAATTTGTTATTGTGATATTGGCTTGTTTGATGTCCATTAGAAAAAATGGAAGTTGTTAATTTTTCAGGGTATGGTGTTTTCTTTTTTGTTTTTGGAGAATGTGAATTGTCGATTTCATTAGAATGCCAAAGATTGATTTTCTTTTTTAGTTCATGATTTCATTTCCACAGTTGCATTCTCTTCTCATTCGATTGAAGTGTACCAAATTCCAAACAATATATCATCCTCAAATCATCCGTGGGACTTCGTTGTTTTCAGGGACATTTTCTGGCTCTTTAGCTGTATATTGTTTTTGAAGGATAATGGTGTTCAAGTTTGTGAATGGTTTATTTCATTTTCGTGGTTCATATCAGAGAATAATGAATTCTTCAAGTTCTTGTTTTCATAAACTCTTACGGCTGTTTACATTTGATTTGATTTCAATTAGTTCCTCTCAATATGGTCGCCTGCTTCCCTGCCCCTCCTGGAATGGAGTACCCAGAGTGGAACATTTAGTAGTTAAGGAAGGGGGACCTGTGCTTCAGTTTATTAGTAAATCTTTGGATCTTCCTCCTCTGTAAGTGCTTTCTGTTTTCGGACAGAACCATGAGATTCTAGTGGAAGGATTTGTTTGTGAAATAATTTATGTTTCATCTTGGAAGATTTGTTTCAGATCTTATTCATTTCGGAGCTGTTTATTATGCTCTGGTATCCCCAAAGCCTCCTCCTACTGCTCCACCAGAGCAAATAAAAACATTTGAAGAGTATACAACTCCATCAGTTCTCAGAAAGAGAACTTCCATTAAAGGGAAAAGTATTCAAGAAGCGCAGAAAACTTTCAGGATAACTTCTGTTAATGAATTTGTTGAAACCGGCACCTACATTCGTGTTTATGTGCACCCAAAACGCTTTCCTAGGTAAATTTTTATCTGTCAACATGTTACTATTCCATCTTGCTGCTTTCCTTAAATTTAATTTTCTTAGCATGATCAGGTGTTATGAAATTGATTGGCGATCAAGAATTATCGCTGTTACTGAATCATATGTGGTTCTGGACAAACCAGCTGGTACAACAGTATGTATGTGACATTATTTTTTTCATTCTTAATTATTGTACTTTGACGACCAAAATCATGGATTATTAAATTTATCGTTTCTTATTGAAGAATCATGTGGTCCACTGTGATCTCATGTATGATAATTTACTGCTGTAGTTGCAAGCTTAAGTCCAAAATCATTTTTGTGACCAGTAGGGATGATTAGTGATTCTTGTGATCAGGTATTTTCCTTTCCAGCATTCATTAGACTTGCATACTTGGTTTATTGGAAAGTGAAACTATCATGTCAACTTTAGTCAGTTCTTGCTTGTTATGGGTTGCTTTTGACATAAATCAATTCCATGAATCCATGTGATGTGATGAGTGTCTCGGGAGAGGTTAACATTTATCTGCTTCATCAGGTTGGAGGAACGACAAACAACATTGAAGAATGCTGCGCTACATTTGCCACTCGTGCGTTAGGATTAGCTACTCCATTGATGACAACACATCAGATTGATAACTGCACTGAAGGCTGGTAAGTTGTATTCACTGACTTTTGTTCTCTTTAGCAACGGAATCAAGCTTTAATATTTCCTTTGTTATTTTGCAGTGTTGTTTTTGGTAGGACGAAAGAGTATTGCTCAGTGTTTCATAAAAATGTCAGGGTAAGAAACATTTCATTTAACACAAAGAATTTACATCAATTTACTAGCAAACTCAATGAAGGAACAAAAACTCTGGAAGCTTGAATTCCTCATTTGTTCAGAATAAACATCCTATGCCGTGTTCATTTGTCTGCCAGAGTGGTTGTCCCATTTATTTTTATGTCCCTGATGTTTCATTTCTGCAAATTGGTCTTCGTTTTTCATCAGGAGAAAAAGGTGAAAAAGCTTTATCTTGCACTTGCTGCTGCTCCTATGCCACTTGGAACTATTACCCATTACATGAGACCAAATAAACTGGCACCAAGGCTCATTTCGAAAGGTAACTTTTCAGATGGCAGTTGATTCTTTAATTTTCATTTGAGCCTTCTCCATATGCACTGATTGTACATCTTATGTTCTTTCCCCACTGTTTTAGAGAGCTAAGAAGCTCTTCTTTTGTGACATTCCCGATGTGAACTAGTAGAAATTCTCAGCATTCATACAGACAACCTTTGGGGTTCAATCTCAGGCTTCTCAGCCATGCCCTGATTTACTGTGCTTGCAGATTACATTGAAGGATGGCATCTGTGTCAGCTTGAGGTCTTAGAGTGCAAGAAGGTTGCCTGGCCTACAAATGAAACCGAAAGGAAACATGGGATTGAGAGTTGTGGGTGGCCTTCTCAAGAATTTGCATATGAGTGTAGGATCAGCCTTCTGACTGGTCGAACTCATCAGGTATCATTGTCTTGTTTCTTTGCTCCTATTTCGGCCTTTATTCTGTTTGGGCTTGAAGAATTTAGTATCAGATAAATTGGGAGATGTGGCATTTAGATCAGACCAGAAAGATACATTTGGATATATGATCTCATTTTGATGTTTGAACTTTCACTTTCTTAGTTGAAGTCGCTAGACATCACGGAAAGGAAAATTGCACAGCAAGATTTCTTTTTTCTTTGAAAAATATATTTTAAAGGCCCTTGAAATTTCTGTCAGATACACAACAAGAAAAGTAAGTCTTTATCTTATTATATGTGGTCAGCTATAGGGATCATATGTTTACATCGTGCTCGGTTGATACACATTTATTGGTCAGATAACGTACTTTCTAATAGTAATTTCACCAATGGTAATATATTGTTGACAAGTATCAGTCACTATTCAGATTCGAGCGCAGTTGGCTTCTTGTGGTGCTCCTATTGTGGGTGACTCGATGTACATGCCAGCTGCTGCATCTGAGATGGCAAATCCGGGGACTAATCCGCTACAAAAGAACAACTGGCAAAGCGCAAGCGAGGCTGATAAAGTAAGGGCTATCGAGGAATGGATAAAACTGCACGGGAAGGAACCTGCCGTTGCTATTGGTCTTCAGGCATGTCAGATTTCGTGGGATGATGGCATTCACTGTTACGAAGCTGGATCGCCTTGGTGGAGGTAAGATAATGCCTGCCTATCAAAGTTTAGAGAAGTTTCAGGGCGTTGACAAATAGTAGGGGATGAATTTTGTTCGGATGAGGTATGACATGTTCGTTATGGAATGTGGATTCAGGACAAGAAGTGCCTTCCTTGATAATTTGAGTGATTATTTTTCCAAATATTGTGGAATCCATAGGATACACCAGTAATGTTGAGGATTCTCATACATGATGATGATGTTGATTTTGGAGGCTACTGCATTTAAATCATGAATTTAAGTTATGACTCAAAAGTAAAAAGAACCTCGCCACCGGTTCCGAGACTTCCCTGGATTCTGTTTCTTCTCTGCTTATTGTTCCATCTCTACATAAGAATCATATTTCACTATATGGTTGTATTTCATCTCTACGGATTTAAAGAGAAGTTCAATAACTGTATACTAAAATTACTCTTTCATTTAAACAAAGACAAAACTATTTTTCATCGTCTCAACAAAACTCGAATACTCGGAAAAAATGAAAACACCAGCTCTTCATTCTTGATAACACCTCTTTATAATTATAAAAAACTCTAGTGCCTTCAGTAAGTAAAGTTCATGTAAACAAAGGCAAGCCTCTGGAGCCAAACTTTTCTTTGTTTTTCCCTTCCAAAAGGTGCCCAAAAACTAACAATGCAGCATACACATTAACAGGGATAAGCTATTTCAAAAAAATTTTGATATGCAATACCTCCAAAACGATTCCTGTTGCACAAGTACGATTCGTGAGCTTGTCGGCTTAAAGGTTAAACATGGTCATTATGATGCCAGGGACTTCACAGGATACCCTTCTTTAATCCACATCCAACAAAACATCTCATTACGGAGGCAAATCGTAGGACTGCAACAGAAAAAGATGATGGACTTCCGTGATGAAATCTCAACCATTTAAGGCTTTAAAGGGCCGGTATTAACCGGCTTCTGGAACACCCTTACTGCCGGCATTCCATCATCTTCGCAATGTCTGACCCTCCACGAGAGCAGCGGTTCAGAAATCATCCAAACAAGAATTAGTATTTGATGATGAAGTTGTTACAAGTAAAATAACAATTAATAATAATGGCGTAACATTTACATTACCTCCAAATCAGGGCAGCGATAGAAGAGTGGATTCCGTGCATCAACTACCATCAACAAGCTGCATATATATGGAAAAGCACGGAAGAAAGTTTAACAGAAGAATGGGAAGAAACTGAGCTGATTGCTATGTTTATTTTGGAACGGAGAAGCGTATTATAAATAATCAGCTAAGGACACAGCTAAAATATTCCCACTTAGCATCAGTCTCCAGCATATTGCTAGCTAGTTGTAAAAGAGATGAATCATTCCACTATAACTTCAATTTCATTCCGATGATATAGTATCAAACGTTGAAGTATAGAAGCCACTTGCAATTGTCTTTTAATCATTGAACATTGAGCTAACTGAGATCACTCTTAGGTGATAGTAACATAGTCTTTATGTTCGTACAAACCCTCATTAGGTTAACCAAAGACGATAATCCTAAATCTATATGTATCAGTGGGGGAGTTGGACCAGGACTGCTCCCATTTAGGTACAGTGGCCGGTCAGTACCCTCGGATGTGTCAGCCTTTTTGATTGGAGACTTCGGTTACAGATTGCGGCTTCCACTGTCTCTTTAGTTTGGCTGCCTTCTCCATTCTCCATCTTCGTTTCTCTGCAGTGGCTCCCCTCAATATCCTATTCATGAAACCGGCCTATTAATTTCCTTTGATCTTTTCCGTTCAAGAAATCTGCAGTTTATCTAATCGGCATAAATTTGGGAGTTCGTCTGCGGAAGCCCTCTTCCGATTAGGTACGGTCACCGGTTGAAAATTTTACACTGTGTCCTGTTACCCTGGGCATTCGACTCCTCCTTCCCATCGATCTCTCTGTCTTATTACATTGCAGTTTCTTCTCAAAAAAAAAAAGAAAAAAAAAGCACATGAAATGGCTAAATTCATGAGCCAAATTTCTCCCAACTGTTGTATCCAATTAACCCACACCCTACAAAGAGAAAGTTGAACGAGATTTTTCGGAAGAAAAAAAAAAACCAAATGATGAACAAGGTCAGGTATGGTATCAATTAATATCTGGAACATTTTGGCACGGGATTTGAAGTGATTAGTTGAAAGCCTGAAATTTGGAAACTTACTTCTTCAAAAAAGTTGATAGGTAAGCTACAAATTTGGTTCCTCAAATTGACTAAAATTTGATTCATTCGATTCTAATGTGCTGTTATGGTTTTGGGCCGCTATAGATTTACACAGATATCAGTTGAACAAGAACATGTCGTTATCCTTGTTCATTATCATAATATTGGATAGATGTTCGAATATGCAGGTGTTTGAATATATTCGTCGTTATTTGCATTCTAGGTGTTTGAATTTAGGTCTGAATGAGTCATTATGTCTAGATTGTTGAATATTGATGTAGAAAGGTTCTATTGCTTGGTTTGCTGATTGCGGGTAAAGGTGTACGTTGTGCATTTCAGTAGTTGCTGGTGTTGAAGTAACTACATAAAATTGTTTACTCGTGGTTAATTTTGTGGTTTTGGGTCATTTGCTTAAAATTAGAAATCGGGGTAACTTAATTCTTCAGGATAACTGAACAGTTGGGAGCGAATTAGCCCAAAAAAATGAATATCAAAGAATCTGTTTATGAATTGTAGTGATACTGAGAGGCTAAGAAGATCACTTTGATGATGAAAAAACTAATCATCATTACATGCTATTTGTGATGAAAGAGGATACTGTTTGAGTAAATTGAGAATGCATACTTGTGGAGTTACTTTCATTAAACCTTGAGTCTATTATAACAAGGAAATGCGCGTGGGGTTGGGGCCTGGCCAGTGCTTATCTTAGCCGGTAAGACCAGGCAAACAGACTAGCAAGGAAACCAGGCCGAAATCCAAACCACCACCCTGGCTGATACCATTCATCCGGGGAGCTATGCCTTGTCAGCCAGCTACAGGATCAAAATCTCTATCCATCCTTAATTAAAATATCAATAATCGAGATGCATGGAAAAGTTTCACCCAACTCTCAAGCCTGTCTGGAATTCACAACTTATTGTGCATCATGTGGCCTCTTTTTCCCCTTAAACAATTCATCATAGCGGGTACTTTTCTAGCCCAATGCACTTATTGTTGAGTTTTCCGACTGAACTCGGAATTGGAACCAATCTCAAATCATCGTATTTTAATTAAAAGAGAAGAAGGAGATAGAGCTTCCATGTATAATTTATGTAAACAAAAGCCAAATGTTTGATTCAGACAAAGGATTTACTCAGACATTGTCTGAGTACTTCAAACTATAACTCAAAACAAACTTAAAGGAAAATATTACCTTTAAAGGCTTCTTCAATGCTTCAAACTTGAAAGATATATTTACTAAATGATGTTTTTACAAGGGGGAGAGAGAATTTCGGGATAAAGGGAGAAGAAATGAGAGAATACTTGGAGAGAATGATGCCCTCCACAAGAACTTGTACATTCTATTTATAGACAAAGTGCCTAACTACTATTCTACAAAAGTTAAAACTACTATTCTACAAAAGTTATTAACTTTTGTCATTATTTGACATGGTTTTCTTCAGATTTGACTGAAGGTGGTGGTCTATTTGTACAAAATTTCAAAAGTAGATTCCTACTTTTGTCAAAATTTCAAAAGTAGATTCCTACTTTTGTCACTTCATTCTTTTCTTTCCTTTGGTGATTGAGTGATTCTTGGATCTGCAGAATGCATTTTGATGAATTCATCGTGATCGTCATCTTTTTCGGTGACCGAGATTCTCCGCCGTATTGCAAACGAATTTTCTTCATTTGAAATTATGCTCTTCATCGAAACATCGATTTTTCGAAATATTATCATTGTCGAGATTCTTTAAATTTCTCATGAGATCCGCTTTAACTTCTTTCATATAGGCGGATATTATTTCTTCCTTATTAATTGCTCCTTCTTTGAAGTGAATCCGTTTTGTGATATGTTTAAACGGACTTTCTTCATCCGGGTTTGCTTTGAGCTGTCCTTTGTCTTGAGTATATTCCTTGATTTTACGGGCAATTTCGTCAAGCAAATCTTGTCCTTCCATTCTTTTGGTATTGTGATTCATCTTTGTTAATTTGTCCCAAAATTTGGTGTAATATGTCTTATAAAGACACGGAATTTGAAATTCATTGAATCCCACCTCGGGGACCCATTTATAAATCCAAGGAATCGAGAATTCAATAAAAAGTATAACAGAGTGATTTTTCTGGAGCATGATATGATCGTGTTGAAGTTTATCAATGATAGGAGAGGATTTTAACCATTGATAATATAATTTTGAAAAATTATCGGCAAAATTTTTTTGTTGGGCCATATAATGCCCACCACCGAATAAACCAGTTGGGTATGGGAGAAGAATATACATGGGAGCATATTTTTATGAACTAAGTATGCTTCTTTCGGGGTTTTCATAATAAAAGTTTTGTAAAAACTTTGAATATAATCCCAGTAAGTAAATTTTAAAGGAGGAGAAGTAGGAGTATTACGTACTTCTCTTTCGAAAGGGTTGAAATTCCCATTCTTCAAAAGATAGAATCTTTTTGATAATAATTTTGAGAAGTTATAAACTTCAATCGTAGTCCGATTAGACCGAAAATGTGTTATTTCACATGTTTGTTTGAGAATATTCTCATAATAATTTCGGGTTTGTATGACTCACCCGGTATCGTTACTCTTTCTCGCTAGATATCTCCGAATATTACCCATGGATCATCTTTCCACCGAATATCGGCGTTTTCAAGAAGGAATATTACCTCCTTTGTGGATCCTTTTTCATATGACCGGATATCATCCCGATCAAGTATCACTTACTTTGGCAACAAAGGTATCACTTTGTTGCTCTTGGATTTGATCCATAATCGCTTATATAATGCGAGAATCCTTCGAATAAAATCCATTATTTGGACCAATTTCGCATTCGATGAGGAGGATTCCTCCGAGATTTTGAAAATCAGCAGCTATTAGCTTTTATTCTCATGTTGTATTACAGGGTTTATTGTTCTTCCTCCACGACCTCTATAAGGGCCGCGTCCTCTATCGGGTGGATACATAATCCTGAAAAATTAGAGAATTATTAATGACAATTTGGCTTTACAATAATTCAACTTTTCTTCACTTTCAGTTAATCTTCCAGTGAAGTCTTCTATCATGTCATAGACAAATTCAAGGTCTTCTGAAACAGATATTATCTGTTGTGGTGAAGTAAATTCATCAGCACAATCAAGAATTGTATTACGAACTCGTAAAAAGTGATTTAGTCTATGCTTCGCAAAAATATATTCCGTTCTACAATGCCTATATTCAGCAACAATCTTATTATAAGCAATATGTATTACGGATAGTGGATTAAGATAATCAATTTGTGGCCACTCCATCCTGCAAATATTCACGTGATAAAA